TTTGTGGTTTCTGGCCTTAGATTTAGGTCTTTAGTTTACTTTATTTTTGTATACAGTATGGGAAAATGTTCTGATTTCATTCTTTTGCATGTAGCTGTTCCTGTTTTCCCAGCGTCATTCTCTAGAGACTGTTTTTTCCTCCATTGTATGTTCTTACCTCCTTTGTTATAGATGTTAGCCCTAGATATGTAGGTTTATTTCTGGGCTCTGTTATGTTCCATTGATAGATCTGTTTTTGTGCCAGTACTATACTGTTTTGATTACTGTAGCTGTGTAGTATAGTTTGAAGTCAGTGAGTGTGATACCTTCATCTGATCTTTTTTTGTTGAGGTTGCTGTGGCTGTTTAGGGTCTTTTGTGGTTCTATATAAATTATAGAGTTCCTTGTCCCAGTTTTGTGAAAAATATCATGAGTGTTTTGATAGGGATTGCACTAAATCTGTAGGTTGCTTTTATAGGTAGGACTTATTGATGTGTTTTGATCAAGGTGGATAAGCAGAGAACAAACAGATAGGACAGGCCTTTTTCTAATAGCCTGATAAGGAGGCTCCTATCCTAGATTTTCAACCACCATACTTTCATTCACCTAACTTCGTCCCAGGCAGGCTAAAGCATTTTTATCCTCCTTAAGTATTGACTCAGCCCTTGCCACAGGGAGAAAAGTTCTGTCTTCCCTGACCATCCTGTGTGTGGTTGGCCAGGCGTCAGCATGCTTTTTAGGAAACCAAATAGTAAGTATTTTAGATTTTGTAGGCCACATGTCATCTTTCACCCCTTTTTAACACTACCATGAAAATGCAATTTTATATTAAAAAATGAGTACAGCTATGTCTTAATAATGCTTTGCTTATGAAAATTAAAATTTGAATTTCATATAGTTTTAACATGTTGCAAAATATTCTTCTTTTGTTTGAGCCATTTGAAAGTATAAAAGCCAGTCTTAGTTTGCAGGGTTTACAACAGCAGGGGGTAGCCTGGAAGATTTGCCCTGTGAACTGTAGTTTACTAAACACTATGCTAGACTGTTGCTCTTTTTGTCATGTTCTACCTATCACTATTACACTCTTTTAGAAAGTTTTTAGAATCTCTAATATGTTGATGCTTTTCACTCCCTCTTAGTGGTCTAGGGCTCAGCCTTTCATTCTACTCAGACCTTCAATGAATTGGATGATGTCTGCCCACATTAGGGAGGACAGTCTACTTAGTCTGAGGATTCAAATGTTAATGTCATCCAAATACACCCTCACGGTAACACCCAGAATAATGTTTGATCAAATATTTTGACCACCTGATGCAAAGAACTGACTCATTGGAAAAGACCCTGATGCTGGGAAAGATTGAAGGCAGAGGGAGAAGGGGACGACAGAGGATGAGATGGTTGGATGGCATTACTTGAGTTGATGGACATGAGTTTGAGCAAACTCCTGGAGTTGGTGATGGACAGGGAGGCCTGGTGTGCTGCAGTCCATGGGGTTGCAAAGAGTCAGACACGACTGAACGACTAAATTGAACTGAACTGAATGGAAATATCTTGACGTTGCATGGCCCAGTCAAGTTGACACATAAAATTAACCATCAGTGTCGCATAGCTGGTAAATGACAGAGCTCGGTTTCACAACAGTGATGAACTGTCTCATGACAAAATTCAGGCTTTTATTTACTGTTTGTACCTGGGCGCAAACTAAGCATTCATATCCTTCTGAATTAGCCCTTTATTTGGCCAATTTATGGTTGAATATTTGCTTAAGCAATGAGGCATATTTGTCCTGGTAAAATGAGTAAATTCAGAGATAGCAGTATGGTTAGAGACTGTGATATGAAACAACAGATAGTAAGTGGGACATATTTAACTCAGAGATGAATGATTTTGAGTTTCAGAAGACCTATCTTAATCTTCTGAAAGAGAAATTAGACCCCTTTGTTTCTCCAGAGCAGAGAAATTTCATTTTCAACTCAGATTAAAGAACTTTCTACCAGAGTTGTCCAGCACTGATAAAGATTTTTAATCATTAAAAAATACTTTCTTTTAAAAATCTTTTGGAATTTAAGGGCATGTTCTTACCTTTTGTATTTTTTCATTCCCCAAAATGGAAGGTTAAAAACAAGTTAAAGTCTGTGTTGTATTACAGTTTTATCATTCTGTAGAATGAAAGATTTGAAATTAATTTTGTAGTCTGTTTGATATTCTAAGATTATTTTTAAAAAATTTGAAGAGCAAACTTTGCTTCCTTTTTATATTTTGTTTTATTTTGTTTAGTTGCTAAGTTGTGTCCAACTGTTTGTGAACCCGTGGACTGCAGCACACCAGGCTCCTTTTTCTATTAACATTTCCTAAATAAACTCATATGGAATTAATGAATTACTATCATATATGATGATCATTTTACCTCACTGAACTTTAGAATTGTTCAGTTTAGAGCTTATCAGCAGCCTGGTCTTAATTCTCTAATTGAAGTAATTATGTTAACCTTCTCAGCTGACTCAAGATCTTGGTCCCTTTTTTGATAGGAGAACAGCTTTTTGTGGTAAAAGTATGCATGTGTGCATAGTTGCTCAGTTGTGTCCAACATTTTGCAACCCCGTGGACAGTAGCCTGCCAGGCTCCTCTGTCCATGGGGATTCTCCAGGCAAGAATAACTGAAGTAGGTTGCCATGCCCTCCTCCAGGGGATCTTCCCAACCCAGGGATCGAACCTGGGTCTCCCTCATTGCAGGTGGATTCTTTACCATCTGAGCCACCAAGGAAGCCCCAAAATATACATAATACAAGATTTATTATTATAACCATTTTTTAAAGTGTGCAGGTCAGTGGCATTAGCTGTATTTATGATGTGTAAACACTCACTATCTTTTTGCAGAACCTTTTCATTATCCCAAGTGAAAACACTTTACTCATTGAGCAGTCACTTCCCACTCCATCACTGCAGTCTCTGGTAGCTTTATATTATTTCCCGTCTCTGTGAGTTTGCCTCTCTACATACCTCACATAAGGAATCATGTGATATTTGTTCTTTGTTAACATTTACATAATGTTTTTCACTTAGCAATGTTTTTCAATGTTCGTCCATCTTATGTATCAGCACTTCACTCCTTTTATGCCTGTATAATATTTAATTGTGTGTGTATAGCACATTTTGTTTATCCATACAGCTGTTGTCAGGCACTTGTCCTGTTTCCATCTTTTGCCTATTGTGGATAATGTAATGAATGTTGGAGTTTGAGTATCTGTTAGAGTTTGTTTAGGTGTATACCTAGGAGTAGAATTGCTAAATTATATGTTTAACTTTGTGAAGAACTGCCAGTGTGTTTTCCACAGTGACTTAACTGTTTTGCATTCCTTCTAGCAATACACAGAGGTTCCAATTTCTCTTATGTCCTGGAAACTTTGGTTCTTTATTGGGTGATAGCCATTCTAATGAGTTTAAAGTTGTATCTCATTTGTGGTTTTGATTTGCATTTTCCTAATAATTTGTGATGTTAACCTTTTTTGCAATCTAGACATGCTAAAAATTTTCTAAATCACCAAGTAATGATTTCTTTTTGCTTAACTTCCTCAGTTTAACTCCTTTTCTTCTTTATCCTTCCCCAGTTTATTATCCTCTCTTTCACATTTTACCATAAGCAGCAAGGAGAAAGTCGTACACGCCTTCAATATTTTGCTTGGAAATCTCAACTAGACATCCCGATTTATCACTTATATGTTCTCCTTTTCACACAATATTAGAATACATTTCAGTTTTGCTACATTGTAACAAAGACTGCCTTTGTTGTCCTGTTCAATAATGTCTCATTCCATTTTTGAGACTTCACCAGAAGCCCCTTCAGTGTTCCTATTTCTGGATCATTCTGTTCCTGACACATGTATTCTCTAAGATGATGGAGAATCTATCCTATTTACTTCTTTCTGCACATTCCCCAGAATCTCCTTAATATCTTTGTTTCTACCAGCCATCAAGTCATTTTCTCTCATGTCATTTTCTCTGAAGAAAATAGTAGAATTATTTATTACATTTCAAGTAAATGTTATTTATATTACATAAACTATTATATATCTATTTCAAGGTAAATATTCATATGTTATCTTTTTCTAATGGCAAAAATTTGGTTTTTAGTGTAAACAATGAAATTTTGCATGTAAACACACATAAGGCAAACTATTTAACATTTCAGGTAAAAGTGGTGATACATTAGGATTCCCTGGTGGTTCAGTGGTTAAGAGTCCACACTTTCAATGCAGGGGCCACAGGTTTAGTCTCTGGTCTGGGAACTAAGATCCTGCATGCTGCATGGTGTGGCCTAAAAAAAAAAGAAAGCAGTGATACATTATTTCCTCAGTCATAAGAACTGACGTGGAGTTATCATTGAATATGAGGCAGGTTTTGACATCTAGAATTTTAAACATAATATGTTTTGCCTTTGACATATTGTGACTGGTCATAGAATTTTTTTACAGTATCATGTGCATTCCTCGTAGTCATTAAATATCTGGCTAATCAATCTTAACATACCAGCATTACAAGCTACTTCTCTGTTGCCTTTTTATTCTTAAAATTAACCCTAGATATTCATTCATGCTGGCATGCAGAAATGAATGTCATATCCTGTCTATAACCTGCAAATTGTTTAGAAGGGCTTGATATATCAACACTGTATATGGTTGGTTTAACAACTCCTGTTAAGTCCTTGACCACAGTTTTCTCTGGGTTGATTGACATATTATTTCATCCACTGACCTTCTTCTACTTAAATTCTCTGGTAAATAAAATAATATTCTGCTTTTTAAAATCACTTGACCTGAAGTGTCATTGAATATCTGACTTCCAAATCCCATTGATCCACTAAGGAAGATGGCACTTTAGTAACTGAGAGACATTTAGTCATATTATGTACTAATTCAACTAAATATGGCTGAAAGAAACCTTTGTCTAATATAATTTTGATTTCCTGTTTTAGGAATGCTGGTACTATGGATCACCTATATTTGCTTTGAGACATGCTTTAGATGTTTTTTTCTGGAAGCCCTGTAAATACTGCAAAAATTCAGTGTGTTGTTGTAAAGACATATGGTAAGTGGGTTTTTTCTCCCCCTTCATTTTCTTCTGTCCATTTCATGTTGTCATTAAGTCTTATGGATGTTGTAATACTGCTCCCTGCTGGACATAGTGTAACTTTTTAAAGTTGGCCCTTAATAGATGGGCACATAACTGATTAGCTGGACCCAGTCTGGTGGGAAATCCTTGAGTGCATTTACACACACAAAAAAACAACAATATATAACCAAAGCAACTCTGTTTTCATTTTGGGTGATACTGTTGCCATTGTATTGATATCTGGAGCCTAATGAAAGTGCTTACAGTCTTGTTTCTAAATTTTATTATGCGTGCTTCCTGGATAGTGGCATCTGAAAGTTGTATCAAGCATATGTTAAAGGATGTTTGTAGTTGATGGAACTTTTACGATTTCCTAGATTATATTTGTATGCATGTTTTTGCAGTTTGTTAGTTTATTATTAGTATTATCTCTTTTGTAATCATATAATCATTTAAATGCCCTGTGTATTTGTTTTTCTAAATGTAGTATTTAAAACAGCTTCAATATAATTTAAATTAGACACTATTGGATCTATTTTGTGTGAATACCCTTAATCCACCTGTAATGCAGGAGACCCTGGTTTGGTTCCTGGGTTGGGAAAATCTGCTGGAGAAAGGATAGGCTACCCACTCCAGTATTCTTGGGCTTCCTTGGTGGCTCAGCTGGTAAAGAATCTCCCTGCAATGTGGGAGATCTGGGTTTGATCCTGGGTTGGGAAGACCCCCTGTAGAAGGGAGTGGCTCCCTATTCCAGTATTCTGGCCTGGAGAATTCCATGGAGTATATAGTCTAAGGGGTTGCAAAGAGTCGGACACAAGTGAGCAACTTTTATTTCACCCTTAATTAAATTTTATGCAGTAAACTTCAAGTGTACCTTGTGTTGTATATCCATCCTGTAATCTAACTATTATATTTTCTAGTACACACAGTGACCCATTCTCACACAGAGTGACATTGGATTGGAACTGAAGTATCATATCTGTGTCCATCCTATAACAAATCCTCACAGTGAATGCAAACATAGATATTCTTAAAATTGTTTTTAAACTTGTGAGAGTTGAAAATATTTGTCTTCCTACTTTTGAGCTAAATTATTATATACTTTTTAGAGTGTAGTTTGCATAAAGTGTAATGTAGATTTTATGCAACGTAGATTGGATAAACGTAGATTTATCCAATGGATAAATTGGATGTAACATAGATTTTTTTTTTTTAAGTAAGCATACATTTTCTTGAAGAGAAGAAAATGTGACAGATACAACATAGAGCTCAGCAAAGATGTAGCAGGATAATCAATCGTATACTCTTTAATGGTCTGGTTTCTTTTTGTGTGTGTGGCCATTTGGAAAGCCTGTGAAATCTATTCTTAATTAGGATTCTGGAGAATTAAGCATAATAACTGATTTATTCTTAAAATATTGCAATAAAAATTTGAAATGTAGGCCAAGAAAATACAAGGTTTTTAGTAAAAAAAAAAAAGAGGTGCCCTTTCTTCCCTTTAAGACTGTATTATTTCAGAAAGTATATAATTTTAAACCTTTTTATTATAAAATATAACTATATAGAAACATAAATGTATAGTAAAATGAATAAATATAAAGCAGATATTCAGTAACCATAGATCACTACTGACATCCCAGAAGCCCTTAGTATAATCTTCCTTTTCTTTAAGGTAAACAGTTTCCTAATAATTAGATAATTCTCTATATAATTTTATCACTTTTATGTGTATTCCTCAGCAGTATGTTCACTTTTTGTCTCATTTTGATCTTTTGGGGTTCATATGTATTCTTTTTTTTAGATAAACATTTTTGTATTTTTGTTGGAAATGTTTTTGTTATCTTCAAAGTGAAGGGTATGAAGAAACAGATTGTAAGGTCAAGCCAGAGAGGGCTGGCTTCGCTGTACTGAAGAGCTTAGGGGAAGGAGGAGTTGTAGGGAATTTAGAAGTAGCAGCAGTCAGATTGGGATCAGGATGTCTAGGAACAAGCCTGTCTTTCAGGAGAAGTGAAAGGCCAATAAGTCGGCTAAGAAAGGACAGCATTCTTTTATTTTTTTTTCCTTTATTTTTATTAGTTGGAGTCTAATTACTTTACAGACAGCATTCTTGAGGAATGTATTTGAATGAGGCATGGAAAGCATTATGCTAATAGAGCCTATCATAATGCTGCCAACAATAGTAAGGAAAATCAGGTGAGTTGTCTAGTCTGCACTGCCTGCAGGTCTCCAAACCTGATGTTGTCGCAATCCTCACAGGGTATCTCTTGGAACGGGTCTGGGGCAGAAGCTCAGAGCCCCTTCTCAGTAGGGATGGAGGCGACCCTGCTGCTGTCACTGTCACCTTTCAGCCCCCTCCACGGCATGGCAAAGGGTGGAGGAAATTCCCAGCAACGTGTGACCCAGGCCTTGCAGCAGCATCACGGAGGTTCAACTGGATGAGCTCCCTGAGTACTTTCTTTGGACCAAGTACTTGAAAGTCACAGCTCATGGAGTAGATCCTGTAAAATGTGGCGCAGATGTTCAGGCCAAAGAGGTTTCAAGAGTTTGCGCGTATGTGAACCAGGTAACGAGGGCACTGTCCTTGCTGCGCTGGGGCTTCTCCCCCGGCCAGGCCGCGTGACAGCGCCTGCTCCTGCTGGGACTCTACATTTGCCTGAACTCTAGGATCATTAAGCGTGTACCTTCTTCCAACAACTGGAAGAAGTCCTCACAGTCCACAGAGATCCTACCCTCCTCTGTCACCAGTGTTAACCACAGGGTCTCCAGTGCTGGGTTTAGTCGTGCTGGTAGGGGTGGTAACTGTGATCACAGACCCAGAAAGATGTGGTGGAGCTGGTGAGCACCCCCAGGCCCTACAACCAGCCTCAGAATTCAGGTTGGATCTTGATTTGCGCTTGGAAACCGTGATCACCTTTGTACTTCTCTTTGGGTTGTTGCTAGACTTCTGTGGTGTAATACTGCTGCAGCTGTGGGGTGCCGCTCTGGGGTGCCTTTGTGGGGTAGCATGGGACACAGGTGGACCTACTGGTGAGTGCCGTTGTCTGGGGTCATATGCATTCTTTCTTCCATTACCTAGCATTGTGTTTTGAAGATCATGTACATAGTTGCATGTAGTTTTATTTTGTTCATTTTAATTATCATGTGTTATTCCTTTGGAATGAATATGGCAGAATTTATTTATTTTGTTGTCAGTGGATGTTTGGGTTCTTTCTGGTATTTGACTGTTTTAATTAACATTGCCATGAACATTGTTTTATATATCATATGTTGATTTTTATGTGTCATGTGGAAAAAGTCCTACATTTTCGGGTTAAAGATAGATGATTATAGTGGTATTTTAAATAAATTCAAATGAGTACATGAGAAAGTTGTTATATCCTGAGAGTAACACATATTAAATACTGAAAAAGATTCTGAATCAATCATAATTTCTTTACTGTAGGCCTTAAATATATGGTAGAATTCCATGTAACTTGTGACAGTTTAAAAATAGTATACATACAGATAGAGATACAGGACCTAATGTAGTAACTCTTTGTTTACTTTATTGACATGATTCCATTTACTATCATACCATGTTTTATATAATTTCACTTTACTGATGGAGAAACTGGAGAACTAGAGAGGTTGAGTGAATTATGCAAGGTTATTTAGTAGGTTGGAGCTAGAAACCAGACCAGCCTGTCTACTTGGCAGTCACAATTTAAAGAAAACAAAGTGAAAAGCTAAATCAGGATATTTTCTTGAGTGTGTCCAGTCATTGAAGTGGAAAATTTGCATGACTAGCTTTTAGGAATTATCAGATACTCTTTTGACTCTTAACCAAGACCTGGCCTTGCACAGGGAATTGTATGTATAAAGGCCCCTGAAATGTTATTGTACCTTATCACAGTTCATCTTCTGAAAGGCAGCTATAGTATATTATCACTTTGAGTGAGAATTTTACTTACGTATTTCCTCATTCACTGGGCTCTTATTAACAAGTGGTATACTATTATTCATCTGTTAATTTGTGAATAATTGAATCTTACCCTTTTATGTGCCAAAGTTTATTTCATAGGAATATTTTTTCTAAAATGTTTTTGAAATATAAAATGTACCCTTTGTTTTCTTAAACAAGACAAATTGAGTATAATCTAACTTGTTTTGGTTTTGTTTTGATGGCTCAAAGTTATTGTGAACAACAGTCATTTCATAGAATTTATGTGATTTCTGCAGAGATTGTTATGCTGTATATGTCTGTTCTCCTAAATTGTCCTAGAGTGATAAACTTTTATGTCCTGGTGCTACTTATGATGACATTTTTTTGTTTGTTTTGTTTTACCTTTGTTAGATAATTCTTGTTTTTTTGCTCTCAGTGCATTTTACTGACTCTAATGTAAAAGTCAGTGTTTACATATACATTGCTTAGGTGAGATCTTTTTCTGCCTCATGTGCTGATTAAGGGCATAGAATGTGTGCTTTTAAAACTTACTTTGGGATCAGGAACTAGTCTTGCCACTTTGTTCCGGGGGACTGAGATTATTTTACAACTGATTTATGGATGATTGAAATGCAACATAGATTTCCACGTATCAATACTGTTATATCTTTATTTGTGGAATAAGAATTATCATGAACATATTTCCTTACAAAGCAGTAATATTGAAACTGGATTTACTTGTGTGTGTGTGTGTGTATGTGTGTGTGTGTGTGTGTGTGTGTGCGCGTGCACGCTCAGTTGTGTCTGATTCTTTGCCACGCCGTGGACTATAGCCCATGAGGCTCCTCTGTCCATGGAATTTGTCAGGGAAGAATACTAGAGCAGATTGCCATTTCCTACTCCAGGGGATCTTCCCTATCTGGGAATTGAACCCTCCTCTCTTAAGAATTCCTTAAATAGGAAGTCCAGGGAACTCAAGTGGCTGTTTTTAATTATGAAATATTTGATAGGATAGAGTTTGAAAGAAAAACAGTGTATTATGTAACACTGCCTG